AATATATTTTTAACAAAACTGATAAATGAAGTAATCATACCTGAAGTATTGAAATACTTATGAGTAGAAGCATTTGAGTAATATATTTTTAACAAAACTGATAAATGAAGTAATCATACCTAACGTATTGAAATACTTATGAGTAGAAGTATTTGAGTAACATATTATTAACAAAACAAAACTGATAAATGAAGTAATCATACCTAAAGTATTGAAATACTGATGAGTAGAAGCATTTGAGTAATATATTATTAACAATCAAATTAGTAAGGTGTTGTTCAACCAAAGAACTTCAAACAAATTAGTAAGGTGTTGTTCAACCAAAGAACTTCAATCAAATTAGTAAGGTGTTGTTCAACCCCAGAACTTCAATCAAATTAGTAAAGTGTTGTTCAACCAAAGAACTTCATACAAATTAGTAAAGTGTTGTTCAACCAAAGAACTTCATACAAATTAGTAAGGCGTTGTTCAACCCCAGAACTTCAAACAAATTAGTAAGGTCTTGTTCAACCAAAGAACTTCATACAAATTAGTAAGGTGTTGTTCAACCAAAGAACTTCATACAAATTAGTAAGGTGTTGTTCAACCAAAGAACTTCATACAAATTAGTAAGGTGTTGTTCAACCACAGAACTTAATTCCTGGAAAACATAAAGAAATGCTGAATCCACCAGTAAAATCATAGAAACAAAGTTTGACTCAAAGAACACAAAAATAGTTCCGGACTTCCAAGAGTCCAGAACTGTTCTAGATTCAAGTTCTAATTAGCACAGCCGTATGCACAAATAAAAAGGGAGAAAGTACTGGGCACCACAATGAAATTCTTAATTGCCATAAAGTTAACTCTAAAAGTAACTAACTAACAAGCTAGGCATGATGGTAAAAATATAAGTCAATCTAAAATTTTTTCTACATCTACCTTCAGACGAATTTCAATAATAAAACACTGACATATGCCAGATATCCTTAAAAAGTAGCCTAATATAAAGTCTTCTTAAGTTTACCAGTACAAGAAGATGGCTAAGGTATAATTGGCTCAGGCCAGAATTGACAAAATAAGAACCACATTTAAAATATATTAAACTTACCAGTAAAAGTAGTTGGCTAAAGTATCATTGGCACATGCACGACTGATGAGAAAAGTAGCCAAGTCCATCTAAATAATAATGTATTGTTTAGAGTTATAAGAATTACTCAGATCAAATTTTACCATCGTTTCTTATATTATAATCAGTTGTTATCTGTTATTCTGTATTTTTATTGTTGGTGATTACAATAATTAATACTAATAATGAACAAAGTTCTCTCCTTAATAACAACGTTTTTATATTCAAATTGTTAATATTCCCATTACCACTACAGTTTTATTTATTTGCTGCTGATTAATGATAATATTGATTTTGTTATTGTATTCTGATATCATTATAAACAAAAGGATTCTCAATCAGTGGGGAGCATCCCACAAGGGGGGTACATACAACAGCATTCATAAAATTAAGCAATACAAACGTGGAAACATGTAGTTAAGATTTATAATTTTAAATGTATTTGTATTATTAAAAACTGTAAAGCCACACCTACAAAACAAAACACCAATCATATCAGACATTGAATTTTGAGGTTTCAGTGGTATTCTCTGGCATTCAGGTCATACTGCACAGTTGTACAGGATTAGAACCCTTGATCAACATCAGTGATTAACAAACCAAACTACTGAGTGAAATGTACAGCTTAAAAGCTGCACGAGAGCTTACTTCTGAAGAAGTAGAGGGACTGTCAGCTGGCAGTAATATTTCACCAATTCCTAACCCAGGAGGTTCACGAAGATGATCCAGAAGGGAATCAGTGCGCTGATGTTGACTTTCATGTCCCGTGTTTGACCTATCAAAATGTGAACTAATAGCAAACTTATTAATACATAAGACTGATGATTGTTAACGTCAATAACAGTGTACATAATTAGTAAAGTGATTTTTTCCACAAATCATGGAAAATCCGTAACAACAGTGGAATTCTCAGAAACATGGAGTTTATACCTCCTTTAGATGGATTAGTATCTATAACAACTTCTCTTACCATCAGATCCAATGTCTTTTCAAAATGTCAGAATTGTGTTTATACAGTATCTATATTTTTAGTTCATGAACAAAGGAATATCACATCATTGTAAATGTCTCACATATTTTAATACTCAATTATTTTACTGCACTATACTAATATCTGAACATTTAGATAAAACAAATGTCTAATTTCTGATAACTTCTTAAAAAAATCTGTCGTTTCTAGTTTTATTTTGCAAAAAAATATCATATTAAAAATTCCATTCCTCATATCATACCCAAGAGTCCGATCTTCTACCTTCATGTCCACTTGAACTTATAGGATAACTAGGCCACTAATGAAAGCTTTAGCCTGTACCCAAGAATTTGATATTCTAACTATATCCCTTCTCAAACTTAAAGGAAAACTCAATCCACTAGCTAAACCTTTCACCCATAATCAAGATTACAAAGTCTGCTGAAAGTACAAGTAAGAGTATTGAAATGTATATTACTTCATTTGACAAATTGAGCTTTAATTTCAACTTTACCAACTGAACCCTCTTTCTTTATACCAATTATTCCACACTATGAATGTAGCTTACATTTAAATCATCAAACATCTCTTAAGCTAACGTCAAATTTGTGTATTAAACAAGTGAAAAATAATAATTATAAATAAAATTACCTTTCTTTTTCCACGGGAATGGTAGACGACAACATTTCTGTAAAATTTAGATTTAAAGCAGAAGACTCTCGACGTTGCTCTAGTCCAGACTTTATATCGTCAAAGTTCTCGTATTTTAAGGCCTGGACTAGCTGAAGCAGGTACAGCAAGAGGTCCTGTAATTCACCATTAATCTTTAATAAACAGTCTTTTACATTACCATTAAATTATAGAAAACAACAGGCCTTAAAAATATCTATCCTCAGATCCAATATGAATGAGATCAAAAAGTTCAGTGAAACCACAGTCATTGTACCCATAAGTTCTGAAAGTCCGTGTTTTATACACCCATATGGCCATAAAACACATGTTCTCAGTGTTAACCACTAACATAATCTTACTAAAGAACATGGGGCTAGTTCTCACTGAATACTTGATGTTATCTATTGATGTACAGACATCAAAGATGAAGAGAGAGAAAGACACGGGGTGAGCTCTCACCATGTATTCTGTTAACCTCCAACATACCCACCATGTATGGTGTGTTAACCTCCAACATACCCACCATGTATTCTGTGTTAACCACTAACATACCCACCATGTATTCTGTGTTAACCACTAACATACCCACCATGTATTCTGTGTTAACCACTAACATACCCAACATGTATTGTGTTAACCTCCAACATACCCACCATGTATTCTGTTAACCACCAACATACCCACCATGTATTCTGTGTTAACCACTAACATACCCACCATGTATTCTGTGTTAACCACTAACATACCCACCATGTATTCTGTGTTAACCACTAACATACCCACCATGTATTCTGTGTTAACCACCAACATACCAACCATGTATTCTGTGTTAACCACCAACATACCCGCCATGTATTCTGTGTTAACCTCCAACATACCCACCATGTATTCTGTGTTAACCTCCAACATACCCACCATGTATTCTGTTAACCACCAACATACCCACCATGTATTCTGTTAACCACCAACATACCCACCATGTATTCTGTGTTAACCACTAACATACCCACCATGTACTCTGTGTTAACCACCATCAAAACTAATGTTATGCAAATCCATTGATAACTAATAGTTATGATGATGTCTTCACCATTTCACCACAGGCTCGGTATAAAATACATGAGTTTGTATACACATTTGCATACACCTTAACGATAAATTTGTGACAGGTACAGTTGATAGACCTTAACGATAAAGTTGTGACAGGTACAGTTGATAGACCTTAACGATAAATTTGTGACAGGTACAGTTGATAGACCTTAACGATAAATTTGTGACAGGTACAGTTGATAGACCTTAACGATAAATTTGTGACAGGTACAGTTGATAGACCTTAACGATAAATTTGTGACAGGTACAGTTGTTAGACCTTAACGATAAGTTTGTGACAGGTACAGTTGATAGACCTTAACGATAAGTTTGTGACACGTACACTTGTTAGACCTTAACGATAAGTTTGTGACAGGTACACTTGTTAGACCTTAACAATAAATTTGTGACAGGTACACTTGTTAGACCTTAACAATAAATTTGCGACAGGCACACTTGTTAGACCTTAACGATAAATTTGTGACAGGTACACTTGTTAGACCTTAACAATAAATTTGTGACAGGTACACTTGTTAGACCTTAACAATAAATTTGCGACAGGCACACTTGTTAGACCTTAACGATAAATTTGTGACAGGTACACTTGTTAGACCTTAACAATAAATTTGTGACAGGTACACTTGTTAGACCTTAAC